ATTGCAAAGTGTGGTCAAAATGGTCTAGTCTCTCCTAAGTCGATCCCTAAGAATCTGCGTTAACATTTGCATAATGAATAAGTTATTGAGTCCTTCAATTTTTTTCAGAATAGACTATTCGACAGGGCACGAGTTAAAAAACACATATTTCCGCAGAAATTGCAGAAAACTTTGAGCGTACTGAAAATTTCAAAATTGTGGCAGCTAACTTTTTCTGTGGCACGTAAGATGTAGATAATCTGGCCTACCATATAAAATGTAGGCGACGTCGTCAAAAGTAGGTGCGTGATAGATACAGTCTCCAATATTAGGCCAATTTTGGATTCGTTCCTATGTTTTTGTCTGATTACATCACTCGGGCAAGAGGAGTCCACCTCGTAAAATTCACTCGATGAATGAACAGTTTAAAATAGTCGACAGGAGGAGAGGAGAGACTTGAGGAGTGGATCAAGAGGAAGGAAGAGATACAACCGGACCCTGTTGAACTGATACCGCGATTTTGCCGAACCACGCGAAAGCCCCCACATTTACCATTCAAATTTTGAAGTTTCCGTTGAGTAATTTGGCAGCCACGTTGGGAGAAGAAAGCGCGCTTCGCATAACTTCAATTAGCAATTTCCTGAGTTGAAGCTAGCACGAGGATCTAGTCTGTGGTGGTATAGGTGTACTGATTGATTGGCATTTCGATCTGATTCCAAGTGTGGGAAGTTATTCGCTCCCACTATACTGCACTCGATATGCCTGGAGTGTGAACGAAGGAAATTTGAGGAGTCTGGAGTTCCGGCAGGCTTCGGGCACTTAACACAGGAACCTCAGGCATTGCACTTGAAGTCACTAGACCGCACTTTAAATGACACTTTGGTGGCAAATCACTTATCAGTGGAAATGACAGGGTGAGAAATCATTTAAATGAAAATGTTCATCATCCTTCTCTCACTAGTGGCAGACTCAAAGGCGTATCCAGACACTTCGACGGGGAGGGGGGTGTCCACGGGAATGCTCCCTAAAAATTGTCGAAATTTTTCGTACGTCCCACGTACTTTGAGGCAATTTCGTCTTGAATAATTACTAAATTGTCATTTCCATCTTCATTCCTCTGTCCCCTCCATCTCCGTTCTCACCATTTTCTTCCTCCTTTTTTGGAACGAACGGGGGGGGGGGGGGGGCTCTGGATCCACCTATGTGGCACCAAGGGCCACGCTGCCATGCTAAGGAAGAACGCCCTATGAGCCTTCAGCCGTTGCCGAATTTTTCTCTGATAAGAGAAAAATTTTCAGTGAAGCCAGCGAATATTTTTCTTCCAATTTTCCAGGCGATTTTAATCGAGAATAAAGCTAAAGAGTCAAACGATTCAAAATAAAATGTCAATACCTTTCTTCCAATAGAAATAGTTAATCGGGGGAAATTTGGCTACGTTTGATTGTTCATACGGCGTTTTTCCTTAGCATGGAATCACGGCTACAGTGGCATGGCCAGAGGACGTGAGGAAATCAGGAGATTACGAAGGAGAATCTTGAATTTAGTTGATTCAAGGCAGATTTCACTGTTTCTGATCACAGGTGTCAGATGTATTAATTTCAGGGACCTGTTGACCACCCTCCCCCTAAAACCCTGACGGCATCAATGGACGGCCACTATACTGTCGTGCTAAGGAAGAACGCCGTATGAATATTCGAGAGTTGCTAAATTTCCCCGAATAAAACATTTTTTGTGTGTAAAGCTATACATATATTTCCTTGAAATTTTCAGATATTTTAGATTCAATTGCGAACAAAATCGTCCGAAAAAATGGAAGAAAAACACTCGCAACTTTCTCAATAAATTCTTATTTTTTCAAAGAAAGTTTGGCAACGCCTGAAGGTTCATACGGCGTTCTTCCTTAGCACGGCAGTATAACACACTTTCTCAATTCTTATAAGTTCAGCTTTGATTTGAGTCGGTGAATGGTAAGCACATTTTTCACGTGTGAAATAGTACAAGCAAGCGCGGAAAAATCGCGTATATAATCGTGAAAACGCATGCGCGTGGCAAAATAAAAGAAAAGAGGCAGCAAAAATGAAAAGAAAAGAGAAGAAAGCGCAAAATCATGAGTTTCCTGATCCGTCAAAGTGTGTTGAGGTGAATGAAACGACAAATTACGTACAAATCGCTGACGGTGCTCCATCACGGCGCTGACTGAGGAACGGCCACGGAAACAGGGAGCATGCAGCGTGAGTTAAGTGTCTGTCTTATGTTATGTTAACTTGAGTGGTAATTAATTATCGAGGAAAAAACGAAGGGGAAAACGAGCATTTTACAAATATCTATTTAACGGAACCTCCCGGCAGATGACACTTCGCCCGGCCGATTATATTTAGTTTCCGCCACTTCCCGCTTCTTCCTTACACCCGTGTTTATTTTGGAATCCATAGCTTTTTTATGAGTTATTAATTGGGATTATGATTAACACCATAGGTTTCCCCCTCCCCCTTTTTTCTCACTTCGCCAGTTTACATTCGTTGCTGGTCTGACATTCACCCCATGAACCAATTTAACGCGTTGCACTTTCAACCTCCTTCCCAAAATGCGGAATCTTTTTTAAGCCGTTCGTAAAAGGACACATGATTTGTAACTTTCACATTTCAAATTGAATGGCATGGCTTAGGTTGAAAAATGCGTATTTGCATTGTGGTGTCTTAAAATCTCTGATCATACGTTTTAATTTTTCGAAAGGAAACTTAACTATTATCAAACATTTCTTTGAAAGTTGCTAGGAATATTTGTAAATAATTGGACGAAGGTTTTAGAGAACTATGAGAAAAACTGATGATTCGCACATGAGCACTGAGCAGGGGCTCTCTTAATTTGGCTAGAAGTTCCCGCAATTTTTAGCTGCGAAATGTTAATCCAGGCACTCTCACCGTACGTGCAGGGAGAGCCGGAAATATTTTTGAACCAACAATGTTAAGTTTATCACACTTTTCCCGTCCTTTTCTCTTGCACTCTTCCTAATTTCTGAATATAAACAAAAAAAAAAGATTGTTCTCCCGGTAGTCACCGTATTTCTTACTTAGAAGTCACCACCGCGCGGATGAATATGAAAAGAAACGAGCAAAAAGAAAGATTATTGACCCTACTCTGACAGACTCAGAATGTGCCAGAGAAAGGTGCAGAAGAGATCGGAGGAAAGAGGAGAAAAAAAAGTTAGATGAAGAGAAAGAAAAATATTTGATGAAAGGGATACGAAAAAGGTGCCGAAGAACATTTGAAGGAATGGGGAGAAAAAAGGAAAGACAGAAGAAGAATAGAAACAAAAAAAGAGGAAGAGGAAGAAGAGGAAGAAGAGGAAGAAGAGGAAGAAGAGGAAGAAGAGGAAGAACAGGAAGAAGGGGAAGAAGAGGAAGAAGGGGAAGAAGAGGAAGAAGGGGAAGAAGAGGAAGAAGAGGAAGAAGAGGAAGAAGAGGAAGAAGGGGAAGAAGAGGAAGAAGAGGAAGAAGGGGAAGAAGAGGAAGAAGAGGAAGAAGAGGACGAAAAAACGAAGAAAAAACATTATTCCGTTTTGTCTTTCTCCTTCTTTTTCTTCATCTTCTCCTTCCTCCTTCCTTCTTCCCTTTTATTCTCTCCATCTTCTTCTCCTTCTCCTTTCCCTTCATCCTTTTCCTCTTTTCCTCCTCTATTTCTTCACCATCTCCTTTCTTTAGTTCCTGACGCGTCCCCGTCCATGCCTGATATATTTCAGGAGTTCTGTGATAATGCACTTATGTGTTTCCTCAAAACTCTCCATGCAGATATGATTAGCAGGACTCCCTAGACCATCGAGAGATTTATATTTCTGGATCTCGAATATATCATAAAATGACGTCCGGTCAAAGTTCCAAATTCTTAATCAGCCGTTGCCTTATCGATGCATTGCTCGGTACTGTGTATACTCATAATTACGCTCATTGTTGCGGGGAAGAGTGGATCGAGGATTGATTCATTATGATAGGAACCAGGCAGCGCGCCACAGCTATAAGAGGCTTCGACCGAGAGGAAGAGATTCAATAATTCCTGAGGTTGTTAAGAGCTTAGCGCCTTGTCATAGGGCCCTAATCACGGGGAACGCTGCTTCTGCCGTCTCTCGAACCATCTAATAGATGAATGAGTCAAGAGGTGTTGAGTGGGAGGAGTGCCAAAAGCTCTTTGGCTCCAAATCAGCTCTCCGAATTATTCTTCGTTGAATGAGCTCTTCATAAATTCCAAGTTTCGGTGAGCAACTCATTCAAACTGAATGGCCCTAGATCCGATGGGCCGTTCGTTTATAATAAATAAACTTTTTGTGGGGTTTCCAAATTATTGAAAGAGGGTCACGCACGGAGATGCTGCATTCAGAAAGAAACGAGGCAGAAATGTGACAAAAATTTTCTCAGTCTAAAAGTCAATTGTTTGGCTTTTAAATAATGACATACTTCATAAACGGACAGCCTTTACAATGTAGGTCAATCAATCGGACAGCATTTTGCAATTTGGAACTACAATATCTGGCTCGGTTTAAAAACGACGCATACGTGTACCATTATGCACGTGAGTGTTTTTACGAATGGGCTAGAAATTGCAGTTCCTAAATTGCAAAATGTAGTCCAATTGGTCTTAAAGTGGAATTCCATGCTCGCAGAGGATGTATAGGCAGCTGGGTAGCGCCATCAGGACAGCCCAAATGAATTAAGCTTTTCACAATTTCAGAGCGACTGTAGAGTCTTGTACATGCGCACACTAAGTTCCATTTCGGTGATTTTTAGAAAAAAAAGCTTACGTAGTTGAAAAAGTTGAGCTCTGTTATACCGAGTTTCATGTCTTGAAAACAGTTTAAACCGAGAGCTGAGTTATACCGTTCCGTTAATATAAGTTTAGGTTGAGTACACGAAAAAACAAAAAAATTAATATTTTCAAAATTGTCATTTTATCATGCATTATAGATACGTCAAATTTCTTCAATACAGACGCAGGAATATATGAATTATTATGAAAAAAAGATGACTCACCATGCAACTGAGTGGAGTCAATTTCATTGCGGCTAATGTAAATGTATTGTTTCTCCTCCTCCTTGATTTTGTGGTCCAAACATCCATCTGCTGCAAAACTGGAATTCTAGAAAACAAAACAAAAACAAAAAACAAATAGTAATTTTTGAGATATTTTTCATTAAAGAACCGTCCAATAGGAAAAGAAAACTCAGTCCACAAAAACACAAATCAAATTGTTAAGTCAGAATCAGCTACGAAACGAAATAATTTCAAGTACATTTACAAATTATGCTAACAGGTTTCATTGAAAAATTTCCGACTGAATGTGAGACAATACTTCATTAATAATGTTCGAAAACTTATTGGAAGATCTCACGAAACATTGTCAAGAAGCACAATGATGCTTGATACAAATATTTTAACTCCGGTGTGGGTGGTAAAGTATCACACGAAACTGAAGGCGTTTTCGATTGGTGACAACAGTTTGTCGTAGCTCACTGCGACGCGTACCGCGCACACGGATCAAATAGACCCAAATCTCCCCGTCATTTCTTTGAAGGCTTAAGTCCAAAACTACCAAGATACGAAACATTTTCAAGTTATGCCAACAGTTTCTATTCAGGTTTTTTTCCGACTAAATGCGAGGCAATACTTAATAAATGTTCGAAAAGCGATTGACAGATCCTACTAGTAACTATCAAAATGCGGGTTGAAGATTGAAATTCATAGAAAAAGCGATAGACAAAGCGGATGAAGGGGAAAAGGAGCGACCTTATTTGTCAAAACGGGTGGTAGTTATAGACTAAGACTAAGGGAGAAAATGATCAACTAACTACACGGTCTCTGGTGGGTTGCTGTTAACTAGTCTATCTACCCACCCGCTTTCACCGATACACTGAAAAAAAAAAAGTATCACAATCTCAACTATACTTCCAGCTGATTTTGGCACCAGCCACTTAAGTAGTTGCACTAGCAAGAAGTGTTAAGGCACCAGCCAACGGTATAGTTAATCCAACCACACTTATGCTGACTGTGAGGGCACCGGCTGGAGGTATGGTTGGTCCAACCAAACTTTCAGCTGACTTAACCATACCTCTGGCATGTGCAACTACTCTAATATCTGACGCCAAAATCAGCTATAGGCGTACAGTTGGAATTGCGATACTTTTTTTCCTTGTAGGGTATCTCTATGTTCTATTTTATCTCATTTGGCTCCTTTGTCTATCGCTTCGTCTATCAATTTCAATGGAGATGTTGCATGTGTGAGGAATTTGCGATTTGACTGTTGATTCTTAAGTAAAAATTCGCGAGTAATACGATGGTGCCACTGGTTTTCTCTGAAATCAACTCCCAAGCTCATAAAAAGCTCTCAAGTTGAAGCCAAAATGGAGGGGATATCCCACCCTACCCTGAGAGTCCACCTCTACATCAAGACAAATTCTCCATGCAAAGATAGGGAGCAAATACATTAGCAGGGTTGCCGTGTTTTCAGTTTTGGAGTCCCCAAATAAAGTGGCAGCCCTGTCAATGTATTTGCTCCCTATCTTTGAATGGAAAATTTGTCATGATGTAGAGGTGGACTTTCAAGGTAGGGTGGGATATCCTCTCCATTTTGGCCTCAACTTAAGAGCTTTTTTTGAGCTTGGGAGTTGCTTTCAGAGAAAACCAGTGGCACCATCGTGTTTCTCGCGAACTTTCACATAAGAATCAACAGTCAAATCGCAAATTCCTCACACATGCAACATATCTCCATTATCAGCCCGCAGGCCTGGAGCGACATCTGTATCTTTTTCATGGAGGTTTTTAGACGAGTGCGGGCCTTGGATATAGAGTTTCGAACACGAAACTGGACTGAAACTTCCAGAAGGGCCGTGCGAGAACAGTGCACAGTGTCCTCGCGTCCGGAATCGACGCAGTAAAATTCTCCGGTCATTCAGCCATTGTCGGCGGTCGATCGGTCGGTGACTTCCGATCCGTGGAAGATCCTCAACGGAGAGGCGCAGAAAGTGCAGGGAGGGCATCGGATCATCGGATGATGGCACGAGCGGACACAGCGATGATGTTCGGCACCGATATAAGGAAGCTGTGACAATGTTTAGTAAACACGTCAGTTTGATGACTTCACGGAGACGATAGTGATTCTGTTTATAAACACATCTTACTCAATTTTCAACACCGCTTAATTCCACTCTCTCGTCCGAATTGGTCCACGCCTTTTTTTCTCTCTCTTTCGGATCTTCCCCTCGGCCCCCGTTTCTCTCGAGTCTTCTGAGATCTAGTCGCCGATATTGTTGACACGAGAGTTTTCCAAACAAAATTCAGAATAATAACCTTAATTTCTTGCGACTGACTGCAGTGCAATGCACTTCTCCGCGATTCTGTGAAGGTGCTCAAAATCGGAGCCTTCAACGCGGTTAATACACCGACGACACTTTTCCGTTTCGTGCGCAAAACTCTTCCACTGTTAAATCTGGATTGAATGCATGCAGGTTCACTGGACCCACTTAAAGGACCACTGTTGGAGATTTAGTGCCTTTGCATCTCGGGGCGGGAAAGGGTTCTTTCAGAGTGTCACCCGTCACTGGTTATGTTCAAGTAAAAGAGAGTGAGTGCGAAGTGATATACTGTGTATAACACGCACTATGAAACGCTCATACTAAGATATGCGAAATTTGTTCTGGAAACTGGTCATTTTCATTCAGAAAAGTCAAAGTCTTGGCTTTTGAAAGCTCGGACAGGGCCGTATTAGCCGCGCGCCGCACAGTGGATCGAGTCAATAGGTGAGGTCGGACAACATTTGGAAACTTTAAAAGCTTCTAACTCCGTTTATACACAATTTTGAGGTTTCAAAAGTAGTTCCATTGTTTCCTCGTGAAATTTGCCCTTAGAAGCAGCCATTAAAATTTCAATCGCGACGGAACAAACATCAAAATTTGCAGTTTTAGTAAAAAATTCCAAGTCCGACCTCTCTAATCGGCTCGATCCACTGTGCGCCGGGGTATTGCACACCCCGGGCTCCCGGCTACGGGTTTTCGTTATTATTATTTTCAATTTTTTTTTTCTCTTTCGGAGTGGGACGATCAAAAATTTGAAGGCCCTTTGAGTCTTTGAGGTTTAGGAGGATTAGGTGTTCCTGGGATTTTAGGGGTGAAGAGGCCCTTAAAGTTTAGGATTTATTTAAGGCCTCCTAATGACCTTTTGGAGACTTAAGACTATAGAAATTCGCTGAAACTTACTTCTTTCTTTCTTGACTAGAGGATCGATTAAATCTTCCAAGGACCGCGTGAGCCTGCGTTGCGGAATTTGTACCTTTTGCGAGGAGAATGAAGGGGATGAGACTAGAAATTTTGTGTTGGTAAAATCAGAGTTTTGGAGGACTTGAGACTGGAAATTTGATGGACTTATGTCTTTTTGATCTTAGGAAAATCTCAAGGTCCCAAGGCTCTATCTAAATCGGGTTTTTTGATGTCCTGGGACCAGGAAATTTAGGTGATGCAACTATTCAAAGACTTTTAGCATTAAAAATTTTACAAGGTAGAGGAAAATATCAATGGCAATCTTTTTTAGTACTTTAGCCACTTAGTTCAAAGAAATTCTGAAGCTGACAGATTTTCAGGAAACCCACATGTGGCTGAATCGTGCCAATAAAAGCAGTTTATCTAGGTCAAGCTGCACTTTTTGGAACCGAATTCGTCCATGTATAAACTTTAGAGTGCGAAACGAGGAAATTTTGCTCAAAGGAGGTCGTTCAGCCGTCGGCATGAGGACAGTCTTAAAATTCTGCCTCACAGTATAGCTTTCGCTAGCATTATATGCTTACTCTTGCACTTAATCGTGCACATATAAGAATTATTCGGGCTACCTAACCTACTTTTGAAGCTCTCAATTTCTCAAGCAATAGCATAGTTTCTTAACCGAGCACGTGTAAGTCCAGCCAGCATTCATGATAAAAAAGTGTAATTCTCACGCTGTCTTCGTTCTTTTTTAAATTTGAATTATTTTATTGGTCGATTTTTCATTTGAAATTTCCAATTTTGCGCCGTCTATTAGCGATTTTTTTTTTTTTGGTATTTCCGATTTTAGCATGGTTAGATTATGTAAAGTTTTAGATTTGCATTAAAAAAAAAAAAAGCGTATAGTGATTTTTACAGAAATATGATTATCCAACTAATTTGATATTCAGGAAAATTGGCACTGGCTATGATATTTCTTGCAGATCATGATGAGCAGGGCTAGGAATTTTCTGCGCGGGGGCCAAAAGGGCACTCAATCAAGAGAGGTCAGAGGGGCACAGAAAGATCCCTCACCGAGGGAGATCATCCGGAACAAGGTACCGATTCACATTTCAGGATAAATACGGACAATCTTAAGTTTTCTCTCCTAACGCAAAATTGATGTAAATACAATTTTTCTACCCAAAAAAAGAAGAAGATAAGAAAAATACAGATTTGTCACGCCCTCATTTTACTTTCTGAATCCCTCAAATTCTCTAGCGAGGACCAGGCCGATATACGGGGAAAAAGGCATCCCATGCTAAAGCTTGACAGTCAAGTAGTCACTATACAGGGTTATCCAGAAGTCCGGGACCCCCCTTATAACTTTTGAACAAAAAATGCTAGAGATTTGAAATTTGGGGAATGTTCCTAGGTCAAAGGGAACTACTTTTTGGCGTACCCAAAATTTTGAGGGGCGCCCCCCCTGAGGGGGGGCGGACCCTAACTTTTTTTTTTCAAATAGGAACCCCTATCTTGTGATACATCATTCGAAAGGGCTTGAAAAAAGAAAACTTTTGGCGCAAACCGATTGTCGATACCTCAATTTTTAACAAAATGGCGGAAATGCGTTTTTTGGTTATTTACCGTCGGATTCGCTTGAAACTTGGTTTCCATAGGTTTTCGAGCACGAAAAAAACAAATACGATATTGGATTTGCAAAATACCCGAGCTTTTCCAAGATGGCGGCCGAAAAATGGCGGGAAAATAAGTTTAAATCGGAATGTGTCAGATTTCCTGTGCGTTGCTCTCAGCCAGTTGAAAATCGTGTTTCCTGATTTGTCATTTCAACTACCTAGGACTCACCACGGGGAGGTGGCTACGCGTCGAGTCCCACCCGTGCCTCCCCTTC